TTGGTGAAGTAGTGTTTTCTGATTTAGATGGGAGCATTGACCAAAGTGGAAAAATTACAGTCTGCGGAATAAAAGCTTTCCTTGATCCACCATCCCACCTCTCAACCTTCAGGTCTCTTGAGAAACTAGATTAGAGGGAAAGGAGCAGAGTTTGGAGTGAAATGTTTATACAAGAGGAAAGAAGCAAACTTCTGTTGCTCATATTATACAGTCCTGATTCATCCCTAAAGTTCAGTCCATCCTGTCATCCTGTACTGAATGAGGCAGAGATCCTRTGGAAAATGCAGCATATGTTCATATCATTAGAGTGTCATTATACGTGTGTTCTGGCAGAATTTAAGTTACACTTCCTAGCTTTAGTGCTTTACTGTATGATTCTTTCCATTAATTTGTTTCATTGGAAGTAAATCCCTTTGTCAGATGCCAGATAGAAGAATTCTGATACCAGCATTTTCTTGGGAATTGGAAAAAATGAAAAACCTTGATTGAATGGGAAAAAAAATGTTTCAGAAAATAAACCTTCGATGTTTCTGCCTTTCATCCCCTATTGAGAACCAATGTCTGATTTGTTATGAATATGTATATGCATTTAGCATTTGTATATGCATTTAGCATTTGTGGGTTGATTTGCTTCAAATGTATTTAGAATTTTTATGGAAGCATAACTTCAAAAGCAAATCAATTGTGATTCTTTCCCTGTTGGCGCTTGAATGTAAAGGGTAGGGGAGTTTTCAGCGGTGCATGGTATTGGCTGTTGACATTAAGGTGGATGCTGTAGGAACAGCTAGGTACTAAGTATCTTCAGGGATCCCGCACGGTAGGAAACTGCYTCCTCTGCTAGTGTCTGTTAAGAGCTTTGTGTTTAAAAGTAGCTTCTATTTAAACACCAAACCAAAACCATTTCTTAGAAATTYGACTGTGGTCTAGATATAATAGAAGTACTGCAGCTGATATACAGAATAGTACCCAGTCTTATCTATTTCTCTTTCTGTTTATGCTAATAGATTACGTTTCTATGAGCGTTGAGGATGATGTTGAAACAGTGATTATTGACAATTCTGAAGTGGAGGATGGAGAAACCGGGGTGTCCACACAAAGCTGCGTGTCAATGGAAGAAAACTCTGAGGAAAACAGTGATGTCCACCATGTGGCTCAGCTTGCATATGGTAATTAGAGTACRCTTCTTATGATCCAGTAGCTACTGGATGGCAAGGTTTTTTGCTCTATGTTCATACTGCTGTCTTTCATGTTTTCTGCTACTCATATCTCTAAAACATGTTTCAATAAAAAGCCAGACAACAGACAGCCAATTGTTTGGCAGTGAAGTTTAAAATAAGCTGCCACTTAATTGCTTGCTTCAAAGGTCGTCTTACTAATAGTAAACTCACTGAAATATTATGTTTAAATGGAGAATTTCTTATGTTAACTTAAGAATTAATTAGCTAATGATTAGCATGTGATTTGAAAAATAAATTTCATGGAAAAACCTAAACCAAAAGATGAGGCTTTTAGATAAACCATACCATGCAATTCAGTGAAGCACTTGCAATACTGTTGTACAATGGTGGTAGGATGTTTGCTTACATGATAAATTACTAGCCATGAGTAGCCTTTGGTGACTGAATTTTGTCTGAATTGCATTAAGACCTCTGAGAGAGACTTTATTTTTGGATGCTAAAAAAATAGAGTGAATTCAATGCAGTCATATCTGAGCACTTAACTAAGTTCAGCAGCAGCATTACAAAGTTAGCAACGTCTGTAGTGTTAAAATTTATGATGTTTTCAATTAGACGGTTTTATAGAGGYTCCTGTCAATATTTCTCTTCAGCACAGTCAAGTCGCATCTCTGTTCTCTAGTTTCATTAGATGCTCTTGAAAACTTTTTCTGTGTCTTTTACTTGCCAGTAGAGTATAGCATACTTTTTCTGTACACTTTGCTCCCTTTAAGAGCAAAGAAGCCCAGCCAAGAAGCTGTTACTTGCTTAGGTTTCAAGAAATAAATATTTATTTCATCAACAGCAAGAGGTAGTATACTATTTGTGCAGAAATTTTCACAGCCTTTTTTTTTATTCAATTTTTTTATTCAACTCTTAGGTTGATACGTTATAGAGCATTCCCTTTTCTCCTGATTTGGTTCTGTCTGTGCAAGCTTGTTTTGCTTAGGCTTGTATCTTCTTACCTGYAGGTACTGACCTGATAGAGGAAGCTCCGCATCAGTGAGATGCAAGAATCTTTATCCTTATTTCTCCCTCATGCAGCAGGACATCACCATTAGGCTTTTAATTATCCCTTCATGGCCTAAAAACTGAGCACCACTTATGCATTTCTGTTTAAATTCTCTSTCACGTCTGGGTCTCAATCTAAATTACAGCAGTTAWTCAGAAAATTGATTAGCTTATTTAATATGACTCTGCTTTGATCTCAGAAAGTGTCTTGCATGTGAAAGAGTTTGCTCCCTTGGTGCTAATCCTGCTGCCTTGTACCACTTATGCCTTCAATGTGTTTTCTTCCCTGTGTCAGTGTTTGCCCCACAGAAGGTAGCTTAATACTCAGAACAAATAGAAAAAATAGAACAAATACTCAGCATTTTTTTTTCTTATTAATGTTGTGATAAAAAAATGACATTGACTATACTAACTTAGTTACTAAATTAGCAGATTTTTTGTACAGCATCCCTTGACTCTGCTACAGATCTCGTTTGGGCTCTCTTGGCTTGTATCCGAGTCATTGAAATAACTTTCTATTTTGCAAGTGATRTTAGCAAATGCAGTCTTGATTTACCAAAAAATACCTATAGGAATATTTCCCTCAAAGAAAGATCTCTTTATGTTGATGTTAAGCACATTAGCATTTTCTATCTCGTCTCTGGCCCTAACTCTTCTGATATGTAAGTCTGTTGTCTTTGCTTTGAGTGTTACTATCGCTTGACTCCATCCACTGGATTGTTATTCAGGCCATGTAATCATTTTCATTATTTTGCAGAAGTAGTTAGATACCTATGTACTCTTTCTTTCTTATACTGCCCCTTTTACTTGGAGGAACTTAATRCAAGCATCCACCAAGTCACTATATTACTTTAAATTGTGTTTCTAAGTTAAGCCTGAAGAATCCTAGTGGCTTGGGGTTTTTCTTGTGTGTTTTTTGTTTTTCTGTCTGTCCAAGAGGTGGCAGTGGTACCTTCTTCCCTTGGATGTGTTCCCATGGCAAGCTTCATGCAGCAGCCTTAGAGTCCTATGTTTGTACTATACAGGCTGCTTATACCGAGCAATATGCAGACTCTCTTAGGAGAAGAGTACATGCCCTGAAGAATATTGGATGAAGTTAGAATGTAAATGAAGGATAACAGATAAAAAATTAAACAAAAGGGAAAGATCAGTATAGAACTGCACTTACAAGCAGTATTTAGGAAATAATTATGTGCGCCAGGACAACAGTTGCATCAATTGCCCTCTCACATCCTTAGTTTTAGACCTCTTTCTGCCCCTTCAGAATCCATTTGCAATGTACTGGTGGTCTAGCTCTGTAGCTTATCTATTTGTCCATGATAAAATGAAATAGGCATTTTCCTTCAATATGTAGTAATATATATGTGCACGTACATAATATTTTTTTCTTCCAGTTAATTATGGAAAAATCATTTAGTTTGCAGAATCTTTGAAACTAAGCATATTGCTTTGGTATGGGGTGGGGTTTTTTGGGTTTTGGGGTTTTTTTTTGTTTGTTTGTTTTTTTTTTTTTCTTTTTTGGCAAGATGGTAGTATGATAGTTGCTTGGATATGGTGTACCAGTACCAGGTGTGAGTAGCTTGTGTTTGTAAATCTCAGCTCTACACAGTTGGCTCAGCAGAGAAGAGAACAGGACCAGATCACTCAATTGCACAATCATTCAATGACAAAACCATGCAGAGAGGGAGGGACAGCAGAAATCATAAAAGGGGAAGGGACAGGTGAGGACTGAGCAAATTACAGTAGTGGGATCAGTGTTTTGCATTGTGAGCGCGTTGCTAGAATTTCAGTTTGGTTTTGTTGGGATTTTGAATTTTTGAACTTAATATAGTTGAATGTAGAGGTGGGTATGGAAAATGATGTCAAATGAAAATGGAAGCTGGAGAGAATTTGGAAGAAAGAATATTAAATTCAGTCTTCCAATTTCAGATGTAAAGAAATTGCATTAACAAGTATTTAATAATGTTAGTAAACCTCAACTAACCAAGTGATTTAAGATTAAGAAATGTATGACTGCATGCTTTTCTAGTCATGTATTTAATTCGGTGACAGAAAGCTACTGATGTGCTTTGCTTTCTGTCCACTTTTGCAGGAGGTGAAGGTTTCTCAGTAGTATCACAGATGAGCCATTCTGCAAGTATGCAGAGAGGAAATGCTCACAACCCGGAGAAAATGGATTATATGTTTTCACATAATAAAAGAAAACGATTTGCCCCTACTCTAGTGCGACAAAATGTGGTATGTGTAGCCAAACAGTTGTCCTCTGTTTTGAGACCAGAACAATGTTGTTGGAAATGGCATTTCTTCTCTAGCCCATCCTTACTTTATGAAATAGCTGTGAAGAAGTGTGGAGTGGGATATCCATGTAGCATGTAGCACCTGGAAGCATCAGCAAGGGTAAAATCTCATGCTGGGTACTATGCATATGTATAAAAACAGTCCAAACAAGGAAGGGATTGTACTAATATCCTATGTGGATACCGTTATTGAGGAGTACATGTCCTTGTGTAAATTAGTGGCGAATCCTTACGCAACATTAAGTTTCGACAATGCAAGGACAGATTGCATACATTCTGCCAGTTGTACAATTTTTAACCTTTTTTTTTTTTTTTCCTCCTTCTTCTTTAAATTAGGCTGGAATAAGTATGAATTCAAGACCAAATTACAAAATTCATCATATATGCTGGGGAGGAAATGCTCCCATCAATTTAAAAAAAAAAAAGGTAAAAATTGTCCAGATGGTGGCACTGTTGGTTCCTATCCAGAAGCAGTTTTCATGCAGTAAAAATATATTTTGTTTAGATGGTGAATAGGTGTTTTTACAGTATCTGTGTGCAGAATTATACCCATTGAAATAAACGTGTATTGTTTGAATAGATTTATTTAAATCAGAGTAAAAATCTTCACAGAAACACAGAAATATAAGCTGATTAAATAGTTCCTAACCTGACAAAGTTCTGACCTCTCAATATAACAAAATAAATCTATTGTTAATTTATAAAATACTATGTATATTTACATAAAACAAAAATAAAGTACTCTTAAACCAAAAATGAAGTTAGTATTCATGTGACCTAACTATACTCATAATAAATGAGATGTTTGGGTTAATTTTCATTTCCCTGACCCTGTTTTTAGCCAATGGAGGGAATAGAGATGCATCTGGAAGTCTCGATTGTATTCTTAACCAGTTCTCTGTGGAGTTTTGTGCTTTGAATTTTTTCGTTATTCACACATAATTTCTTAATGTTATTTCTCAGATGAGAACAGAAGAATATGAAGATAGTGACAGTGTCGTTTATGAGTATGAACCAGACTATGAATGTGTAAGTTTTGGGGATTTTTAATGTTGTTATAGTTTGTTTGTTTGTTTTTTGACTGACTTTGCAAATGTGCTTTAGGCATGCATGTTTTGGGATACAATAAAATAATATGTGGGGCTTGAAGTTGGGATTCTTGGATTAATATGATATCTTAAAGCTGTGTAAAAATTAAAACTTTCACTCTTTATTATTTTTAATGAAAAAGGGGAGTATTGTATCTGAAGCTTCCTACACAGGAGACCTGCAGAAAACTCTTATGGAGGTCCTCAGCTATTGCCAGGTATCTTTCCCTCCACCCTGAAATTTCCTTGAAATGTTTTGTTTAGTTAAATTTTAGGAGGAGTTTTAATCTGTAGTTGCCTTTTCAAATGTTCTGTTCTAATAACAAAATGCTAAGTCTAGTGACTTCAGAAGGGCTTTATGGTAATGTGAGAGATTTGATTGTTGAATGCACCACCTACCTTTTGGAAGCACTTGAGACTTGCTTTTAGAATAAGGCCAAAGTCCTGGATATGTTGATTTTGGTGAATTCTTTGCTTATGACTCCTAAAGTGATAATTATGAAGACTGAAAATCACTGTTCTGTTGGAAAACTTAAAAGTATCTTGTATTTATGTAGGTGAATACTTGCAGTATTAGAGTTGCCAAATTCTGAAGTGCAATCTAAATGTCTTTTGCTCTAGACAGGATAACTTTTGAGTGTCTTGTCGCTAGCTATTAATATCTCCTAAGTCTCATTAAGGATATATCCAGCAGTGTGTGGAAGGAAATGGAATAAGACACATCCTTGTCACTTGTCTGGGAATGTACTTACTGTAGCAAGCAGTGTTAGAGAGAATCCCTGTTTCTTCTCCTTATTCCTATTAGTATCCCCTTCCTCCGAGTAAATCTGTCCCCAAACTTGCAGATATGTACTAGGGTTTCCCAGAGTGACTCATTATTGTCTTGGTCACCCGCACATATTTAAGGCCTTGAACGACTTGAGATACCAGTAAGTTTCCAGAAGATGTATAGATTCTTTGTCTAGGGATAATAAATCTTAAAGGTAGCTATGATCTTCAAGCCTAGCAATTACCTGGCTGAAACTGAAAATAATTTCAGATTCTTTATCTATTACTGAATCCTTCCTGCAATTTTTGTGGTTTTAATAGACATATGCATTTTTAAGACTTTCTCTGTGGTTATGTAGAAGATCTGTCACACAAATAATTGCTTTGCCTAACTGTAGACGCACATTTCCTTTTTATAGCTCTTTCAGTTATAATGGCCTTACCAGCTGTTAGTGCAAAAAAGTATGACATGTGTCTGATACATATTTTTCAAGTTGGATTTTGATGTTGGATTAATATTCTTTATCTTCTCTATTCAGTCATGGCATAGCTAAATTGCTATGTAAGTATTAGTTTGAGTTGTTAAATCCTGGAAATACAGAAAGGAAACTTTTCCTGAGTCATGGAGGGGTGTGTGTTAGTAACTGGTGGGCTTTGAATGCTTTGATTTATTGTCCTTTATATCTGAGAATTTGGTCCTTCAAGACAATATTTTTAAAAGATTTGTACCTGATTGGATAGATAAAACAGCAAGAATTTTTAACCTCTGAGAGAACTTAAAGAGCTTGAGGATGGATCACTGACAATTAGATGCTCTCAGTCAAATATGTAGTTTTTCAGTTTTTGTCATTGTTTATTCTGYGATTATTAAAAAGTTGGGTATAGTTGATATCAGTGCTGCTTACCCTGAGATGTAGGACTGAGATAATTTCTTTACACATCAGTTACCTCCTTCCATTTTACTTTAGAACAGATATTTTTCTAAATGCATTTTCCACTGGTGATGTAGAAATCAATATTTCACTGACTGCCTGTAAGCCTTTTAACCATGCTTAGAAAGTTATGGTGACTTAAAGTAATGTATCATAATACCCAACTTACTTGGATTGTCAGTAATAACTTTTCAATGTAAAATGAAATGTATCAAATATTAGAGGTAATAAAACGTAGTGGAAACAGGAAGAACAGCCTGCAAGTGCCAGCTATGTTAAAGTAACAGGAGTAAGTAAGCATATAATGTTTATTTATTTATTTTATATGATATTTATTCTTGTTATTTGCATATTTTAAGTTTTTAATATGCTTAGAGAATCTTACCCAGTTTTAGGGAAGATGTTTCGTCTTAATCAAACTTTAGATTGGTTTCTTGCGAGAAAGGATATTATGTTCAACTTTGTGTATTGTATATGTGTTTTTTATCAGGCCATGTATGATGCCATTCAGAAACTGGATAAAAAATTTGACCTCCTTCATCGGAAGGTCTCAGAAATGCAGCATACTCGTGTGAAACCACTGTTGCTCAAACCTGTGAGTATTATAGACTAAGTAATTCTTTTTCCTTTAATTCTATTTTTTGTTCTGTTGCTCAAAAAAAATTCTCTTCCTTACACTGAGATTAAGATTGGTAGCAAACTTGTAGGTTTGTAATCCATTTGAATTAGATTATTGTAGATTTCTTATTGTACTTGGGCTTCAGTCTCGTGTGTCCTTATTGACTCGTAGAATGGCCAGTGGCCCACATCAAATTTAAGTATCGTAGTAGATGCTGTGAAACTCTTAGCTGTAGTGACAGAAGAGAGGTACCTGCTGTATGTCTCAGGCTGGGTGTGTTGGCGTAGTGTGGCAAGCTTCAAAGGGGTATTACTGCTTTGGTAGGTATAGTGTTACTGTCTCATTGATCACTTCTGCAGTCAGAGGAGAGTTTCAGTCAACTACTTGTTTTTTATATCCCAGCACTTGGGTGTCACAGAATCACAGAATGGTTGAGGTTGGAAGGGACCTCTAGTGATCATCTAGTCCAAMCCCCTGCTYCAGTAGAGACACCCAGAGCACGGGGCACAGGGCGGCATCCAGGTGGATTTGGAAGATCTCCAGAGAAGGAGACTCCACAGCCTCCCTGGGCAGCCTGTGCCAGGGCTCTGGCACCCTCACAGGAAAGAAGTTCCTCCTCACATGGAGATGGAACTGCCTGTGTCATATCTGTTATGGTAGAATTGTTTTTTTTTGTTATGTTTTGTTTTCTAGTAAAATGCTGGGTGTTTTTTGTTGTTAGCTTCTAAGAAGGCATGATGCTGAGTACACCCAATGCATTTTGTTGTTGTTGTTGTTGTATGTTTAATCTACTGTTAACTGAAGACACAGAATGTTAGTCCTTGTAACTAACGCTCTTAAAGAAAAATGTAACGGATAATTTTTGAGAAGGTTATGAAATCCATAATGACCTTTGTCAACCACACTGAAAAGCTTTTCATGTGGCAGACATGTCTACATCTACTGACACTCAGAATTGCCAGTGAGAATATGTGATTTGGGGGGGAAAATGGTGACATTTGCATGCACATCCTTTATTAACGAGATATTATATTTTCTTTGGGAATTGTTTCTTCTGTTGTCCTGACAACTCCAAATTTGTACTGTCAGTTTACCCCAAAATAGCTGTCTTGGGAGAGCCTGCCAGCCCTACTCAGTCTCCATGGTCTCTGCTTTTTTAGTATCTCATCTGATCATATGTGATGGGCAGTTGTGCTAACTTTCAGATTGAAAGTTACATGAACCCTGCTGGAAAAATGGACAAAGCTTCAGGTCCATGAACCTTTCTTCTGGTCACAGATTTTTAAAGGCTTTAAGGGTGGAATGTAATCAGACCACTGTAAAAACTGTGTATATGTTTAGTAACTCTTCCTCAGCAACTTATTTTACATTTTGAGATACATTTATTGCTTAATAGAAGCACTCCAAATTATGAAAATTACAGCCCATCTCTGTGTGGTGGTGTTTTGGGTTTTTTTTTGGTTTTGTTTTGTTTTGCCTTTGGAATTTTCATAGGCAAGATCTGAATGGCTTACACTTTCAGGTAGCAAGTAATGAGGAGGCAACCTGGAGACAAAAAAAAAGAATGTCTTGATAATTTTCATTTGAAAAGAAGTTAATATTGCAGTGGAGGATATCCGCTTAGAAATCAGCAAGCTATGTAAATTGTTAATAAATCCTATTTTTTTTTTTTTAATTAAACTAAAACCTTCACCAAACCAGTCTTCCTTGTTATATATTTCACTGGCTTTTTAGAAGGCAATTGTGCTAGTGCATTGGGGAAAAAATGAGAAACCTACAAACTGAACAGTATASTGCTCATGTCTAAAAGAAATTAAAAGAAGAGAGAAAAAGGAATAGCGCTGCCTTCTTGAAAGTGGCGCCTTAAATGAGGAGTGCTGCCAATGGTGAAAAATAACCTTTCTGGTTTGCTGGAGGGGAAAAAAAAAAGACCAGTATTTGACCTTTTAATTGTTTTCTGAATCATGTTTATAGAGACCAGTTGGCTTTGCATACAGAAGTTCCAGTCACTTGCCCCAGGGAAAAATTGGAGTACCAAAGTCAATGGACAGGGAATCAAGCCTTCATCTCTCTTCCCCGGGCCAGGGAAGACATAGCCCCGTCATAAGGGTTGCTCTGCAGAAGGGCCACGTTCAGGTCAACTCCATAAAACGTGTTCAACAGACTCTTCAACTGGAATCGCATCAGTCTGTGCTGAGGCAGAGCCCGCCGCTGCCCACGATAGTTTCTGCTCATTCACTGCATTCGCCGTACACAGCAACTGATGGTGTCCCTGACCTTTCTGCACTATCAAATCTTGCAACCACCGTTGCGGAAAGCACAGTCAACGTTTCATCTTCACCAGGGGCATCGTCAGTGATGGCACCATCTTCTGAGACCAGCTTGGAAAATAACGCTGTGCAGGTCAACTACAGAAACGCATCCGGGAATGTTAGTAAAGAGCTGCCATCTTCTTCTGTCTCGATCAATCCTAGCTTTGGTGAGTTCTTTGTGATAGTGATCAGAAGAGTACGTTAAAATTGAAAATGCTGTTTATAAATTTTAAAAAAGCCGAAATAGATGCATTTCTCATTATTTAACAAAAGAGAAGAAGCAGAACTAGCTGCCTTTTATTTCATGAATTTCAAATATTATTCCATTCCATTTCAAATATTATTCCATTATACAGTATTGTTATAGGAATGTTTAATATGCCAGAAATCAATTTGAAGTACAGTGTATATGTACTGTGTAGAATAACATAAGGGCTTTGGTTCACACTATACGCTGCATTCTTTCTCAGTGCTCTTGATAGAAACTATTTTGACCTGTATATATGTTTTTAATAATATATACACATACTACATCTGTTTCTTAAAAAGACAAATAAGGTTCCTAGTAAAGCTCAGTGAGACATATGACTTGTATTATTGTTCTGCATTTTAAGAAAACCATCGACTTGTGTAAAGAAAGTACCTATTTTCTTCCTACAGAGCACTCATCTATGAGTTTTTGTTCATCCTCAATTCCTATAGTGTTTGATTTATTTTGAAATACGTAACTCCACAGAAAATGAAGAATTCCATAGGTCACTGTATTATAACAAGCACATGTAAAAATAGAAGCCTGTTTTGCAGTATCGTTTTAGTTAGTTTTGTTGGTACTTAACATAAGCAGAAGAGCTGTTTCCCTTGGCATTCCAGTTTAAAGCTACTTCTGTGCCTTCTGTGTAAGGATTAATATATAGCATAACGAGTTGCAGTGCAGAGCACTTGCTCGTGTGTAGCTGGATGCATCTTAGGAGAAGCAGTTTGAAAGAATACTCCCTTTTAACAATTCAGTGACTTTTTTTTCTTTCTTTAATTGTTTCGTTTTATAAAAGAGTATGTTGGTGACCCACTGAGAAATGTCAAAGTTCTGGGAAACTATTTGATGAAAGCTCGGCAAAAGACGAAGCCGAAGTACGCAGCGCGCTACTTGGTCCGTGTTTTGTTCCCCAAGGAAACGTTGTTGTGTAGCATTATGGGAGTGAGTGCACGAGGGCGCAGAACACTGGATCCTAACAAAATTGCAGCAATAAGAGGTTCGTTGCTTTTCAAAATTGACATTTTCACTTTTTTCCTCAATAGTTACTGTAGTTGTAGACTTACAAGGTGTCCTAGTCTCTCTGGTAATGTTAAGAACTAACATTAAGAATGTTTAGCACTTGCTAAACTGCTAAATGTGACAGTCAATGTGCTCCACGCTGCTGGGTGCTTACATTTTGAGAGAAAAACCTGCCTTGTTTTGAGTTCTTCAGTATGGATGAAACACTTCTAATTTCTTCTAGTTTCATCTACTACTTATTTGTCAGCCATGCTATTTTTTTCTGAAATTTTCAATACAGCTTGTTTGTAGGTGATCATAGTTTTCTTTCTTTCGTATGACTATGGTGCACCTGGAACAAAAGTTCCGTATTCCAGAAACTCACTCTTCTTGCTTGTTTGAGAAATGAAGATGGGTGCAGCTTACTTTCAAATGTTGTCAAGACATTTACCCAGATCCCAAGGCACATATCTGTGAGACTATATTTATATCCTCCTTCCTGTTTAAAGAGTGGGGGAGGTAGCTTTAAACCACCTGAATTATTTGCAGCAGCAGCGTAACTTAGTCGTCCTTTAAAAAAAAAAAAATTATACTATTATTGAGGATGTATTAATATATGTATTATATTATTCAAGAAATGTTGAATAATAAAAATACTATTCACAACACATCAAAAATATCATCAGCCATCTTAACTTTGTAGTGCTGCTCAGCTTCAAAGCTAATTTTTCCATTGCATCTTAAAAGCTAGAAATCTAAAGCTCCTAATGCAGGCATTTATTAGCATGCTCTTTCTAAATTAGAAAGCTCTTAAATGTTAATTTCTTGCCAGCAAGTTTAAAAGTCTTTGTATGTTTTCTCTGCAGAGTTTCTTGCAGCTAACTTTCCAAACTATGATTTGAGTGAATATGGGAAAGACTGGAAAACCTGTATCACAAACGTGAATGCTATGATTCGCTGTTTGCGCTCTGAAACAAAAATAAGCCCAGTAAGTTATCTCAAGGTGATCAGTTATTAAATACTGTTTGTTCTTCTTTCTCTAGTTAATTATTTAAACTCCTCACAACATGAGTTTTCTCATTGGAGACGGCCTCCTTGGGTTCTCTCTTTGCATAGCTTAGCCTGGGTCTGCTGATTTCAGCACCACTGCCATAGTAGTACCATATTGGCAGCGTATCCCCTTCTCTGCCTCTTCATGCTCTCCTGCTTAGCAYTCAGTTATTGAGCCTGGTGAAGACATAAGATACTAGAAGGAAAATACTGTAAATGTTGCCCACGAGTAGCAGTAGTGTTGATTGCAAGGTTAAATGTGTAACTGCTAGTACTGTTGTCAGACGCTGCATATCTAGTTGTGCATTTCCAGGTTTTATATTCAGAGAAACATCGCTGCCAAAACACCTGTAATTCCAGTTACATCTGCCTCTAAAATGTTGTTCTAAAAAAATTTCTGCACATGTGGTAACTTCATTTATGTTTCAGGAGACACCTGAAGGGAAAGAAAAATTGGCTGAGACTCCAGATACGTCCTTTTGCATGGATTTAAATTGTAGCGAGGATAGTGAAGGCAATACTCAAAACTCTCAGAAACCAGCCACCACTGACAGACTACAGAATTCAGGATGGGATAAACTGCCAGAAACTCTCGGCACATCTTCAGTCAAGAAGCTCCAGTCTTTGGAACCTATGGGTAAACTGAGAAATTGTCATTATGTGTATAATATTTTAAATGGGTGTGAGAAGCAGTATAGGAGAAATTATATAACAAAAGGGATTAGCTGAGTTATGTGACTCTTTTTGTCCTCTTATTGCAACCATGCTCTTTCTACTCAGTGTGTTTTCTTGGGAACAAACAGAAATATTTCCTGTCTTAACAAAACACATGTTTTCATATACACACGTCTCAATATGTATCCTTTAAAACACTGGAAAGTTTAGTTGTATGCTCACACTCTTTCACTGTTTTGGTTATTTTGCAGTTGTCCCATTTTCTTGCTTGACACATATTTTACTGTAATGGAATGAGCTGGCTCAAAGTATCTGTTGGTATCCAAGTGGTGTTGGAACTTTCTTTCTATAAAACCRACAGTTTATGGCAATACCTAATCGTAAAGCCACCTTAACATTTTTATTGCAACAACAAAAAATTAAAGGCCAATATACAAATGCATCAGTGGAAAATCTCACATGCTGCATATGCTGGTGGTGGAGATCTTCAGGGAAATGACCTGAGCCTAACTGACCACAGAAATAATTCAAATAAAATCATTTTGGGGCTCTAGCAGTTTTACTATTGCATCCCAGAGTTGTTAGGACTACAGTGACTCCATAGACTTCCTGATTTACTATTCTTTTATCTTTTTTTTTTTTTTTTGTGTCGGTAATGCCTACAGTGAAGTCAGGTTGAAGTAATTAAAAATATTCATTTTCTTTTCAGAATGTTTGCAAGATCTAAGTACTATTGTAGTAGTGGAGCTTTATTTATTTATGTGGAATAATGTTTTATTTTAATATGCAAGAAAACAGTACAGAAAGCCATCATTAATAATGCAGGTAGCATTACTAGCTTTGTTGGAAGTGGCTCAGAAGTTCTGTTCTGCTGTTGTAGAACAGGCATTTTTTTTTTTCTGTTTTCCTCTGCTATTCTGGCAGGTATCTGCAGTTTGATAGTTGATTATAGGGACCGGGGCCGTTCTAAGAGCAGCAGGTTGAGTCCATCTACCTGTGTACATAGCTTTTTATGCATTTTTAATCCATCAGGTTTTTTAAGGTAGCAAAGAGTGCATTTTTTTTTCTCCTCTCACTAGACTTCCCAAATCAGATATCACCAAAACTTCTTCCTTCTGCTTCCTCCTCCTTCAGCTGCTTTGCAGGAGTGGGCTCATTAGTGAGGTGTGACAATTCCAGAGCAATTGCAGGGTAGTAGCAGCTGTATTTTAAGCTTGAGATTTTTTTTCGGGATGCAAAGTGTGATCCATATATACACAACTATTTCTTCTGGTCTTTCTAAGCTAGTAGTTGCAAGAAGGAAAAACACAAAAATGTCCTAGTTTTACAGTAAAAGTATGATCTGTAACATAAATAAAATGCTTTTTCTTCCCAACATCCTTTCTAGAACTTCTTGGGAGTCCGTGGCGCAACGTTCAGCTGCCTTTCTCGGTCATTTACGTAGCGAAGGGGAAGTCTCGTCCGGAGCTCTCAGCTCGCTACCTAATTCGTCATCTCTTCACTGAAGATGTGCTGGTGAAAAGCAATGTGTACGGTAATCTTGAACGTGGCATGAGTCCCTTGGACTGCAACAGAATTAATGCTCTCAGAGGTATGTTGGAAAAGCTCTGCTTAACAGAGAGAGTTGGGAAATTAACAGGAGTGATTAATTCTATAGCTTGTATCTTGTGGCTTTGGGGGGAAAAGGTCTTCAGATTTTTGGCTGCTGTTTGCTATGTGCCTATCTTAGAGCTGAACATATTTGACAAGATTTAGTCAAACAACATGGGCATATTTTGGTCTTTTCTTTGGTTGTCTGTTTCTCGGTCTTCCTTGCATCATAATTATTTTCTTGATTCTGAAAAAAAAAAATTACTGGGGGGGTAAGCTTTGTGGGGTAGGCTTGCTCCAAGGTTGCAGGCAGTGGGACACTGGAGTGTCTTTTACGTTCTCCCAGCACTGTTGGTTTGATGTAAGGTTTTTCCTTCTTTCTTTTTGATCTTGGTGTGAGATAAAAGCTCCGTGGGGGTTARTAAGGTTGTATATCTCCCAGAGGATCTTACAGTCTCTTCAGATAGAGATTCCTTCACACTTTGCAAAATGCATCTTCTAACAGGTCTTGAAACTGCTTCTGCTTTGTGTCCAAGGTATGTGGAGGTTGGTTAAAATCTGAGTTTTATAGTTAAAGGTCTCTGAGCTCTGCTAGGCTTATAGCTCCTCAGGTGTGTGGCAGTTTTGCCTCTGAGGTTACATCTGTGGTGCTAGATGAACTCGCCCCCAGCCCCAGTTCAGTTATCCTTTTTACTCGCATTACTTGCGTTTTCCTTGGCATGGATCTGTTCCACGCCTGTACTCTGGGATAGTGCCTGGGCATGGATCGAGGGTTATTGCGTGCCAGAGACGCCAGAGACCATTCCCTGTAGACGGTATAACCAAGAAGGTGCCAAGGTGAGCTTCCCTCAGACTTCCTGACCCACAAGGGCTAGCACCTTTTCGTTTAATCTCCACGTGCTCACGTACTACTATTTTTGTGACATTTGGGCTGAAGAAGCACACAAATGGTGGTGTAGAACTGCAGGAACACCAAGTGGAGCACCGAGCGGGTGCTAGGAGGCCGTGTGGGTGCAGCCGGACAGTGGCACTTGGCCCAGGAGGACTGTCCTCCTCTGACCCTGTTTTCCTCAGCCCTGTAGCATRGTCAGATTGGATGGCAGCATCTCCTCCATTAGCACCATCCTGCAGAGCAGGAGGGGGCTTTGCACGGGCCTGCAGGAGTCTTAATTATTAACTGACTTCTGGAAAAGAAAAGGCTTCATTAAAAAGCTGTTTTGTGAGTCGTGTGCTAAGGCTTTGCAGGAATCCCTAGCTTGTGCTCTAACTCTGAGGGCCAACGTCGGTTATTTTTTGTCTGAACTTGCTCTCAAGAATGGAGGGAACATTACATATTTCATTTTTAATCCTTAGACCTTTTGTCATTTTTAAATATTCCAAAACAAATAAGAGAAGGGGAAAAAATCTGCCCTCTAGCTTTGAATTTTTAAGCCTAATAATGTGGCCAGCTGTTCTCTTTTGGTAACACGCACTTACATTGGTCTAGTTATATCCACAAATATATAAGGAAAATGTAACGTGTGTCCATAATTGATAACTTGCTCTTATATGTTTGTTTATTGTTAGACTTTCTTCAGGAGAACTACCCCTCCTTTGATCTGAAGGAAACAGGCTACGATTGGAAGGCCTGCGTGGCTGCCATAAACAGCACGATCCGCAGCCTGCGGCACGACCTCAAAAAGGCTGCAATTGGCATGCGCAAGCGGCTCCTGGCCATGCCCCCCTCGAGCAAAAGGAGCCCTCCGCAGAGCCCCACGTCAGCGAAGCCCTGTGAAGGTGACACTATCAATCTCGCAGACTGAAGCCCTCTAACAGCTGKCTCAAACCTTAGTTTAGTGGGTTTTTATAAAACCCATATAGATGCCTATTACATTGAGCTGTCAGCATCACTGAATAGTATGTTYATAAGACCAAAGTTGTCAGGAGAGCTAGAAACCCTGTGTACTTGTCTAAGTAGGACTTGTGCTTCCCGGAGAGCTGACATCTGCTGTTCCCTTTGGCATTTATGATGTGCTSCCCTCTGAAAGCACCTTCCCTTTCAGTGAGTCATGAAGCATAATCTGATTACAAAAGACTTGGCTGCACGTCACATCAGCAAAAGCAGATAGGAAGGGGAGAGAAGGGATGGTGCTCCTTGGGGAAAGATGGTAGCTAGTTAAGAGCATGTTGTTACGTGTGGGGAAGGAAATTTGATAAAACAGTTGGGTATTGKAACTCAGAATATCTAGAAAGGAAAATACAGTTACTGCATCTAGCTAATTTGTCATACATAGCTCTCACTTCTTTCCCTTCTCTAGTAGTCTCTGTTATAGGATAAGGAAAGAGGCAGGCAACAATGTATGTASAGTTGTTGGTAAATAATGTTTTCTTCCCTCTGACTTGGATCTGGTTGCAAGCTCACAGAAGCCCACGGAACAAATATCCCAACATTTAGTTTGTTTCTTGACGTAAATTCAAGGAAAATACATCTTCAGGGGCACGGTCTGCTTTCCAGTGGCACACGTCTGTCTCCTACCTGATTTCCACAAAGCGCAAATCTGATCCAATTTTACCTAGAGGATTTGGATCTTCATACAGATTTTATCAGCGAGTAATTTCCACCAGTTTCAAGTCATTGRTCCCGCGGTTAAGGTGCAGAGGTGCTTGCTCTGCTGCTTGTTACRCGCTCAGGGATGACCAGCATCAGCGGTGCCGCTGTGCTGCTGGCGGTGAGCATCTAGCTCGCCTTGACAGCGTTTGGTGTGCAGGATTGCAGGTGCTGGCCTGCAAGGCCAGGCATATTACCCAGTTGCCTTGTTAGGGTGCTTTTTTTAAAGACTTGTCATCCTGTCCTTGTTTATATAAGCTCTGAGATGTGCAGTGATTACCCTTGTCTTCCCTTTCTTATGCCCACCCAACACTAAGATTTGTCAATGGGCTGAAGTACGGAAAAGAAGAATCTCGTTTTGGAACTTACTGGGATGTTAAAATAATAAAAATACATAAATAGAAATCAATACCTATGTATACACATTTTTGACATCCCGCTCAATATTGTTAATAAACTGAAAATCAACAACAGCAGTTTTACAGAAGCGAAGGGGTTTTTTTGTTCCCCAGAAGAAAACATATTCTGTACATGCCTTCCTGCTGTTTGTTTCTTCCAGCATCAGTCACATAGCCAGTGTGTAAGAAGTGATAGGAGTAAGTGGTATGTGAACTTGCCATTTGTATCATCTCTGAGCTTAGTCTCAGATGTTCAGTTTTTCACAGGAAAAAAATAGCTTTTCAGAARACTGATGTAACAAGGAACAAATTTCACCTCTGAAAACTGATGTAACTGTGGCTTCCAAAACTATGCCTGTGTGCATAGCAGAATCTAACTAGATCTGTCCCCCATGGCAAAAGTTTCATGGTCTTGTTTGTTTTTATTAGCAATAGGGTGAAATAGGAATGAAATTACTTGGTTTTATTTAACTTCTATCCATAACAAATGGGCGATGTTTATTATATGCATTAAAGGATCACAATACAGGGTGTTTCTTCGTGGTTTTGTTTCGGTTTTTATTGCAAGTTAGGATATGCAATGTCCTTATCCAATAAAATTTTGTTTCCCTCGCCAGCTCCTCCKTGCCATGCAGGTATCTTCTCTAGACTAAGAAATAGATTTGAATTAATTAATTCTCAGAGAAATGTACTGCTGTTGGTCAGTAAYGTAAGAGGAAACAAGTTTCATGTTTACTACCAACAAATTCTGCTGTTACTGTTCTATACAGTCTTTCTTGTAAATGCCAATAGTTTTATATTGTGTGTGGATATTACTAGTTTCAAACCTCAGAAGAAACCAAAAAATGCTTATATTTTTTCAGTAGTTATATGATTTTTTTCCACTGTCATTCATAGATTTTAATGGTAGAATGATATATTTATTGAATAACTTGTCTGGCACTGAAATCTGTTMATGTGGTGCATACCTCTAGCTTCCATATTGAAAAGAGAGCTTGAAAAGAATTGGATAAATGTAGAAATAGTTTTCTTGTTTCTGTTAGAAATGTATCAACTTTTGCTAACTTTTATAAAATAAAATTACAATATTTTGCTCTTAGAAAAAATATTTTACCAATAAAAGTAGCATATAGCTCCTTAACTAACTATCYGCGTTTTAAGTATTCTTGCATTTTAAGTATTTCTTCTGCCGCGGGCTTATGGGTCAGGTACATTTTCATCTGAAGAGATGCTTTTGGTCTCCTTGCAAGAATCAGATGTTTGGGGAAAACTTCCAGCTAAGCTGAGATGACTTCAAACCTGAAACTGCCCCAACTCATGTAGCAGACCTGAGCAAACTCTTCGGAATGAACTTGGGTTTACCTAAAATCAGCTACAGCTTTGTACAAGTTATTTGAAATAGAGAATTGCACAAAAGAGTAGGATTATTTTTTTTTCTCCTTCAAGGTGGTGCATTTTCAGGAGGTGAGGCTAAATTTGCACAGTTGAATAACAGCTTCTGTATTACTCTTTATTTAAGGAAWAAAATGAGACAACGAAGCAATCTGTTCAGTTGAAACATCACAAATTCACCTTTATTCGTCCTCGAGGCCTATATAATCTGACCCAAACACACAACACCAGCCCTTCCTCTGGGTCTGTGCCACTTTATTCGTATTTTGGGGGAGTTAGGATGCTAGGAGTAGGTGCTGGGTGACGAATGGGCTCTGGCAGCAGCTCTCCGGGCTGCGCGTGCTCCTGGAGCCTGCTCTGCAGCAGGTCTCTCAGCCTGGGCGCCCGAGAGGAGGGGGGTGCCTGAGTGCACGAACAGAGTAATCGTTCCGCGTGCTCCATGAAGCTGGCAGCTCCTTCAGGGGGTTTCTGAGGGAGATGGGAGGTAAGTCCACRTGAACTTCCCTTCAGGTTTTCCTCAGCCATGTCGCTGTTGTCGTGTAGCCGATTTCTGGGTGGTTGTAGATATGGCCTGCTGTGTACTCCTGTGTCCAAGGAATGCAGACAGTTGAATTCCTTCCCTTCGTGTGAGGGAAGAGCGGGAGTGGAGCTGCTCCGTGAGGCAGCACAGGCAGCTCTGGGCCCCCTCCATGGGCACTGTCCCCATGTCTGTGCCCCGCTGTGGGGCACCACCCCCAGGTCTGAGCAGTGCTGCGGGGGATCAGGGCCTCGTCTCACTGTTCCAGATGTGCGAGGAGCTCCACTCAGCAGCAGGGGACAGAGCTGCAACATTCCCAAGGGTCCTGTAGGAGCTGAGGCCACAGAGAGACCTGCAGACAGGGCTGYGACACCAGACAGGGTGTCTTGGGGTGGTTCTGGGGCCTGCAGGGGACGGCGCTGGCTGCGACCCCCTAGGAAGCAGCCCAGGCCCTGACAGTGCCGGGGATGCCCTCCAGGAAGCTCCTGGGCTCGGCAGGAAGCTCACTGGGAAGCTCCAGGGGTGCCCAGGCTCCTCGGGCGGTTGGGGGCTCCAAGTGCCTTCAGGGCTCCCAACATAAAATGTAGTTTCTGCAGGTTTCACATTTTGAAGTTATGCAGTTTATAGATATGCTCAGCTTCAATAATCCTAACTTTGGGGTTTTTAAAAAAAAAAAAATTCAATATCGAATATATCAAATATATTTTGGATTGTTTGATGGGAGCACTTACAGGATTTTAGAAAATGATGTAGAATGGCTTATCTTTGTAGTTCTTTATTCCTAACTTGTTTCTATATATATTGCAATGTGATTTTTATATATATAATGCGTGTGTGTGTGTGTATATATTTTTTTCCCCTGCTTATTTTGTTGAACACAAGGGGTATAATGAGGTCTATGCATAAAGTCAGGTGGGAACTTCTGCCTCTGAACACCATCTGAACACTATACTTTTTAAGTTAAATACATAATAAATCCATAGTTAATTGTTTCTTTTACTGAACGGGGGGTGTGAGTAGCTTCTACTGCTTCTTGGAATTCACTTCCACACTGGAAACAGACGAGAGGATTTTGAATCCCGAACGGATTGAAGGACGATAGCACCACCTACTGAGAGCCAGAAGTCTCTGAGAAGTCTCTGAGAACACCTCCCTGTTTTAAAACACTCCCAAAGAAAGAGTGAATTCTGCGAATTTGATTTTAGTGCTTTCACAGAAGTTGAAGTTTACTTTTAGCTGAGCTTGACAACTTCTAGTCTTTTAAAAATGGTGTAATTTGATTAGGATTTCTTGTAAGGTAAGACACTTTCAGTTAAAAGATTTGCAGATTCTGTTTAACACGCAGAGCAAGTGCACACATGCCTGATTAGGAGCAATWAAAAAGTAGGGTGTGTGATGGAACACTGGGATTTTTTTTTAATCTTTTCAGATTTAGCAGATTCTTTAGTATTAGCTTGTTGAGGCTGCTGTCTCCTCTGGGAGCCCTTTTGAGGAAGAGAGTCACGATCATCAAGAGGCCATCAAGTGCCTAACATCATGTCAGGGAATTTTTAAGGCTGTACGAAGGATCAAGCTCATGCAGAGGACATCTCTGCCTGTGGTGTCAGATTTAGGAAGCCAGAAAAAAAAAAAAAAAAAAAAAGAGTGCTGTAGGCTGGGAGATATTAAAAATATTGTTGAGTGCTTAGTTTGAGATTCAAAAGGTAGCAGTTATGTGAGCCAGTCCAAATGGAGGCCATTTTCAAAGGTAGCTACATCCTAAACTATTTTAGTAGGTGAAATTTTTTGAAAGAGACCGAGTTCTAGTCTTGGGAAGACTTCAGAATGAGGTGGCAGTGCAAGTGCATTGAGTAAGTGCCAAAAAGAGGGAAAAGGAAGGGGCCAAACCAGATGTGAAGTTCTACAAAATCCAGTGTTTGGGAAGTAGAAACTGCTAACCAATGATGGTAAACTACTGACAAACAGTAATGCGTATGTCCTCTATTAAATGCCCTAAATTGCTTTATTTAGGTGTTATTCAGACTAAGACAGCAAAGGGGGTCTAATTACTTGCTGACAAACGCCTGTCAGTGTGTGGCGAAGGCRGCTTTACTGCCAGCTATATCCAAAACAGAGGAGGTGAAGCCCAAGTTCCAGCAAACAGACCTTGTCTAGACTAGATTTTCCTCAGGCCCGTTAGTTCTTGCACGTTGAGGTCACAGCTTTCAAATTGAATTGGGAGAAATCCCGAGTGTCTTGGCCTTGGATCAGGAGGCTGTTTGAGGGTTGGTGAACAGATTGGAGTAACTTCACGTGGACCGGCGTCCTTCCAGCCAGCTGAGCCTCCTGCCTGCTTGCCTGGGTGAAACCCTTGCCTCCTAAAAGGAATTTTACTCTCAGCCATATTTACTTCCTTTTCTCAGTTCTTGTTTTGCCTCAGTGGAATGAGCCATAACAGCAGGTTGGAAAAAAAGGCAAGCCTATCTCCTTAAGCCTCAGTTTGCTTCCGGAGGTCTGCACCACTACTGGAAAACATTAGGGGTCTGCAAGTTGAAGGTAGAAGAAGACACGCCTAGACCAGTGTCTCAGAACTGTGAAGAGATTTGCCTGGTGTTCCCGTTAGAAAAAGCGTTAGCAACAAAGACAAGATGATCTAGGGCTGGATTGGGGAGCAGTCTTGGTATCGCATCCTGCCGTGGCTCCTAAGRCCCAGAGCACTAGTCTTCGCTCAGGTTTGACAGCAAATGTGCTTGGTTATCTCATCCATAAAATCATCTCTGTCCCTTTAAGCAATTACATAGGAAATTTTGGAAGGAAAGGGAACTGGAGAAGTTATTTATGTTGACACAGAAACCTAAATTTGTATCTTAAGTTCCTGGCAGTTATGTAATGCTAGGCTTGGCTTAGTGACCGTAGCAAAGGAGGTCAGGGCGAGAAGAACACTCGGGGCGTGAAAATGCAGAATGTTGGCATGATTATTTTCCTTTTCCTATTATTGCCACAGGAAGAAGAAAATACTGGRAAATTAATAATAAAGCACTACTGGCCTTGTTTTTATCTGTTTTTGTTGTTGTTTGTTTCGCCCCCACACTCCCATTCCCTATTTAAATGTGGGGTTGTTTTTGTTTTGTTTTTGTTTTGTTTTGTTTTTTGCAGGTTCTTTATTGACTATGAACTAAGGGGAAAAATGCGAAGAAGAAAAAGAATGGCCACTACGTTTACAAGAGATTGAAGATAACTTTTTAGTGTAGCTATTTTCCGTTCTCCTTTTTGCCACTGCTCTGCAGGAGAAAGTTTTCAACTTTATGCTCAGGATCTTCTTGAAAACAAATACAATCATTTAAAGCAGCAATCTAATAATATCTTTCATCCAAATGTTGCTGAACTTCGCTTATTCAATTCCAATAAGCAACTGCTCCATAAAACAGTAGTTTCATCGCTTCCATGTGTTTCCATTTCATGTGGGGATTACTTTTCTGCTATTTGATCTCATGGAGGTGCTAGTAGAGCACACTTTGGCTTTCTCTTTGAGGATGTAGTTCAACAGATGCTTTAGTGCTCACTGGAAGCAGAAACATGCGAATATCTGTAGAAATCTTCACTTCCCTCTGTTTGGCAAATAAGATGATTTTATACGGTGATCTTATTGTCAGAAGTAATTCCTTTTCCCCTTTAATAACTATAGTGACAGTAATAGATACTTTTCCTATAGCAAAGCAACAGACAAAGACTATCGARACTGTGGGGTGTTTTTTAAAGACGTTTGTATTTTCGTGGCTTTCTCATTTTCATTTCGAATATGCAATTGTCTTATAAAAGTCTTTTCTCAG